AAAAAATCAGTTGGTGTTGACTAGAGATCATGAAGATAGAAAGATTAGGGAACATTGAGACTTTCTTTTGTTGCTTTTCTTGGTTTGTTTAAGTAATACAAAATAGTATTCTTGAATAAAATATTTGAGAAGAGGCCAGGCATGAGCAAAACTCAGAGAGACTGAGAGAAAGGAGAATATAAGAATAAAAATAAAAATAAGCGAAAGCTATTGCGTCATCACTGATGTTGGAAATGGTGCTCTACAGTGCAGAGTACTTTTAAAGAGCACACTTATCCTATTTAGGGAACTTCCGAAGCCAGGATTTAAACATCTGGTTGGGAGGAAATGGGCCTATTTCCCTCTCACATTCATATTTAAAGGACCTCTTGGCAGACAGAGAGCTAGGTGTGCCCTGTGCTGTTTGCATAGGCAATAAAAGTCATGGGATTTAGCTTTACTTCTGCAGAGTGTGGAACACTGATTTCTCAGCAAGTCAGGTTGTTGAAAACTCTGCACCCTGAGTGTAGAACTTCCTCCAAAGTTGCTAGGAATTCTCTGGTAAGAGTTTAAGACCTCCACAAACTTTTCAGACCTGGAGCTAGCATGCCAGGAGGTTCAGGAAAAGCTCAAGCCAAATGGAAGGTGTGCCTGGAGAGCCGCCGGGTCTGATAAGTGATAGCCTTGGTGGCTCATGTGGAGGGGGTGGAGATAAGCAGGCAGTTTACCTTTGGGTGGGCTGGGTCATCTCCACTGATGGCCTCTACCAATGCAAGTCCTTGTCCTCCACTCACATGGAGATACGTCAACATATTTTTTTGACACTGTGTCCGGCCGTCAACACTGTCTGCAGATCTCACCCGGATCAGCCGCATTCTGACGGGCAGCCGTGGTGATTCAGTAGCATGTGAAATACAAGTTCCAATACTTGTGGACAAATTGTGTCCTGGCAAGTCCAAAATCTCCTCTATCCTCGCAGCCACAAAAGAAAGCCTTGAAGACCTGTGCAGAGGGTCACCTGGGTGGCTCAGTCAGTTAAGCATCCGACTTTGGCTCAGGTTGCGCACTCATGGTCCGTGAGTTCGAGACCTGCATTGGGCTCTGTACTGACAGCTCAGAGCCTGGAGCCTGCCTCACATTCTCTCCCTCTCTCTCTCTCTCTCTCTCTCTGCCTCTACCCTGCTCGTGCTCTGTCTCTCTCACTCTCTCTCAAAAATAAATAAACATTGGGGCGCCTGGGTGGCTCAGTTGGTTAAGTGGCCGACTTCAGCTCAGGTCGTGATCTCGCAGCTCGTGGGTTCAAGCCCCGCGTCAAGCTCTGTGCTGACAGCTCAGAGCCTGGAGCCTGCTTCGGATTCTGTGTCTCCCTCTCTCTCTGCCCCACCCCCCCCCCCACACACACACACACACTCAGACTCTGTCTCTCTCTCTCTTTCAAAAATAAACATAAAAAAAAACTAAAAAAATAAACATTAAAAAAAAAGGCATGTGCAGACTGACATTTATGGAGGCACGAATTGCCAAGGTAGTCCTGGAACGTCAGGGTTAAAGGTGGAATAACAGAAATCAAGGAGGACTGTTTCAGGGTCTGCTAAACTGTAGCGGTGGCACTCATTGTAGAAGAGTTGGCTATGCGGTGGGCACTAAGCATCCCCTCTGGCTCTGTCATCAGGGAAGGGGAGAACAAGGACTCCCAGTGAGAGCCAGCACTTCCTCACGGTGCCATGTGACAATAGCTCAATTTTCCCTGGGAGAGCGATGAGGCCATCTCATGAGAACGCAACGTTGCTGATTTTCAGAAGACTTCTACTTGCCATTACCAATATCAACATAGTAAATCCCCATGTGACATTTTACATCTCCGCGCTCCTTCCTTGTGAACTGATACAGAGCTTCTCCATTCTTTCCGCTTTGTCGTGGCCCCTTCCCAGGGAACGTGGAGGCTTTTCATCATCTTGCTCCTGAGGCTGCCGTGGAAAGATTCTTATCCTTTCAGGAAGTTTTCCCTTGCTGCAAGGACCATCTTCAGAACTTTATTTCACTTTCTGATTTTGGAAGTCTGTGATTTTAGGGTGCTGAACTCATTGTTAAAATAATATCAACAATTTTAACAATAGTTTTAACAATTGAAATCCTTATTTTTGACTTAACAGGCTTCTTATTGGGAGGTTGAACCATCCTTGTCAAAATGCTTGTCAACTGCTACAGCACCCAGTTTGTCAATATTAGATAAGCCAAGGTATCGATTCTTGAATTCTTTCTATTAGATCAAAAAAGAAGTGGAAGCTTTCCACAATGATGCATTATTTTTGGAAACGTCAGGCGCAAGGTTTGCCTGACAAGCTCTTATCAGAGACGAAGGAAAGTCCCTCTCTCAACATTCAGTTCATTGCTCACTGACTGGTTCAACTGCCCGAGAAGCTGGCTCAGGTGCTGAATTGAATGCACACCTAGTACCCAGGCTTTCAGTGTAGACTGTGGGTCCCTTCAGGAAGCCTCTGACAGTTCAGATTGAGTGCTTGTAACTAGGGCTTTAGGAAACTGTCCCATCTTCTTGTTGGCGAGCTCTACCACTTTCTACGACAGAAAGATCAGCTCATTTTCATCCGATGTCAGTGTGGGTCTGATGACCCCAGCAATGATTTTCCAAAATCCCACCAAATAATTCCCAGAGGAGGTCATGATGAAACTGGGGAGGGAAGGAGGGAGTTTCAGAGGTGACGAAGTGGGGATGAAAGTAGACCAAGAAAACCTGTGTGAGGAGCACCTGGGTGGCGCAGCCGGTTAAGTGTCGGCTCAGATCATGATCTCACGGTTTGTGAGTTCGAGCCCCGAGTGGGGCTCTGGGCGGAGAGCTCAGAGCCTGGAGCCTAGAGCCTGTTTCGGATTCTGTGTCTCCCTCTCTCTGCCCCTCCCTCGCTCATGCTCTGTCTCTCCCTCTCAAAAATAAGTAAACATTTAAAACGTTTTTAAAAAAAAATAAAGCAAACTTGTGCGAACTCCTCCAGAAAACAGAATGAAAGAGTGACCCATCCCCCACCTCCTCCTTATGGCTGCTAGAGCAAAAGGTGATAAGAGACCCTCTGCTCTACCTTGACAAAAAACGATGGCAGAAAGGGGCAGAGGGGATTGGTCTGTGGCGTAGATTATTTAGCTCCAAAGAAATTGCATATACATAAATTCATCTTGCATTTGTCCAAGGGCAGGTCATTACAAAGACTTTGCTAGAATCACACAACCGTCAGAGCCAGATCCCCAGTCTTAACAAAGCCCCAGACAAGGTTACCCCAGCACTGCTTTGGTCTCATTAAGAGCAAAGTGATCCTACCTCGGGTGTAATCTGCAAGAACCCAATAAAGTTTTTTTTTGTTTGTTTGTTTGTTTTTTTTTTTTTTTTTTTTTTTTTTTTTTTTTTTTTTGCAAGTAGGAAGCGGAGGGGAGGGGTACAAAATGTTGACTTTGAATTCCCTGTTAATTAAAACAATGATCATCGTGTTCCTTTTGTTTAAAGTATCTTCCATGCCCTAAAGGTAACTCGATACGGATTCACGTGGAAAAGGTAATCAAGAAAAAAAAATGTTTCTCCAGCTCTCTTCTATAATTCAATTTGTTTTTCTTACTTTGAAACAGCAAATTTACTATGAGCAGATGTTTTCAGCCCAGAGCCTGCTCTTGTCATGCGAGCCAAGTTGTTAAATTAGAGGCACAGCTGACAGCTTGGTTCCCACATGATCCCTCCCAGTGGTTGCCCGCAGGGGGGCCCCTCCCTGGCTTCAAGCTTCTCCCCGCCCCCACCCCCCACCTCCACTGGGCTAGGACGGTACATCTGGGCTGTATGTGACTGATGGCTTTCCAACACAAGGTGACTTAGCCAGCAGTGAGCCCGGGCTGGGGCAGCTCCTGCGTCCTTCTTTCTTCAGAATCAAAGGCTTAGATTCCACATTTACTTATTCATTAACAAATATTTATTGAGCCACCAGCAAGAGAGCACCGTGATTAAAAAGCATGAGTTTCACAGACTGACCGCCAGGACTCAGTGGCACCCGTGCCACTTGTGAGCGCCGTGACCTTGGCAAATTATTAACTCTTTCAGCCCGAGTTTCTTCTCTTGTGAAGAGGGATAGTATTAGTTCCTATCGTGTGAGATTTGAGGAGACTCGTTTGAAGTAAGTTTCGGGACGTGCTCCGTCCGTTGTACGAACCGTAGCGCCTTTATGAGGGCAGATTGGACTCGAAAGGCTGTAAGCAGAAGACAAGTGCGTTTGCTCCTCGGCCGCCCCTCCTGATCCCATCAGGAGGGTCCTATAATGCTCCCCGTCACTCCCAGAGAATCAAAAGTGCTCTGGTCAGTTTTTGTGCCGACCAGAGTCTCCTTTCAGACACTCAAACATTAAGTCAAGTATAATAATCAAATTTCGGAGCTCTGTTGAATTCAGACCTTCTGTCCACTCAGCTTGCCCAGGTCAGGAAGACCAAGTGGGAGAAGGGGGAATAAGAGAGCCTCCTTCCTCCTGCCTTCGTGGCTCCATTTCCTACCCACTCATTAGCTATGATGTTGGATTTCTCCAAGGTCAGGGGCAAAGGAAATTATAGGGAAGGGTCCAGACATGGAGCAGGTAGAGCGCTGGTCTGGCCCTGAGGCTCTGTATTTGGCAGAGGTCCCAAGCTGCCTCTCTGGTTGCTCCCTGGCAGGTGGCCCCAGCCACTGCCCCTCCCATTTGCATTTCTCAGTCCTGTGTCACATACCAGCGCTTTCTGTCCTCCCGCCCCCCACCCCTGCCCCACCCCTCCTCCAGGATTGTCAGGCTCTGTTGGTGTTTCTCCCGAATCCTTTCTCACTTGGCTGGAGAGGAGCAGGAAGCCTGTCCTCTTCCCTCCTGCCAAGGAAGGACCCAGCCCTGCTCTCCAACCATAAACCACTCAGGGCCAGAGCCGAGGTCGGAGGTCAGGGGGCTGGCCCTCCATTTCAACGGGTGTTTGATAATTTCGCTGCTCCCCACCCTCTCTTCCCTTTCTTCTAGTGCCCTGGCTACTACTGAGCGAGATTTTTCCTGCTGGAATTAGAGGACGAGCCATGGCTTTAACTTCTAGCATGAACTGGGGCATCAATCTCATCATCTCTCTGACATTTTTGACTGTGACCGGTAAGGACCTGCTGTTTGCCTCTAACACCTTTTGTGCTCATAGGACAAATGTTGGGGAAGCACACTCACCTAAAAGACATTTCACTGTGGACATTTTTAAAACATTCAAACATAAAGAGGATGTATCTGATGTACCGACCACCCAATTTAAAGTTATCATTCTCAATTCGTTTATAACCCCAGCTTCTCTCTCCCCGAATTGTTTTGGGTCATATCCCAGACAGGACGTCATTTTGTCTATAAAATTTCCACGTGGACCTCTAAAAGATCAGGCGTTTAAAACCTATACCTGCAAGGTCATTATCAGAAATAAAAATATTCACAGTAATCCCTTAGTATCAAATATCGAGTCTGTATCCACATTCTTCCATGTCTTATAGTTATTTTTTATATTTTGTGTTATTTTTTATGTCTTTTATACACTTTTTATGTTTTCTTATACTTCGTTTGAATCACGATCCAAATAACACAATCTGCCGTTGATTGACATGGCTCCTAATTTGTAGGTTTCATCTCCATTTCCTCCTTTTCCTGCCCATCTTTGGATTTGTAATGAAGAAACTGGGTCATTTGTTTCAAAGAGTTTTCCCCACGCTGGGTTTTGCTGATTATAGTCATGTCACATGGCCTTCTGTCTTTTGGGTTTCCTGAGAACTGCTCTTTAGATCTCGAGGCTTGAGAGCAGATTTAGATTTTCTCATTTGTTTGTCTATAAACTCCTTCACAGATGATGGAGGGTGTCCTGCCACAAAGGCACACCCTGTGTGTCTGCTTGTCTGTCTGTGTCCCACTTTGTCATGCAGGCCCCTTCGAGGATCATCACCCAGATCCGTTATTTTTTTTTAAGTGTTGTTGGTTAATATTTTATTCATTTTTTTTGAGAGAGAGAGAGAGAAAGACAGAACACGAACAGGGGAGGGACAGAGAGAGAGGGAGACACAGAATCTGAAGCAGGTTCCAGGCTCTGAGCCGTCAACCCAGAGCCCCACACAGGGGCTCGAACTCACAAACTGCGAGATCGTGACCTGAGCTGAAATCGGATGCTTAACTGACTCAGCCACCCAGGCACCCCAGATCCGTTATTTTCATTGCATCGCTCCTTCTGTATTTTTGTCATTGATATTTCTCTAAGGAGGAATTTCTTCTCATTAGTTATTTGCCTGCCCTAAAGGATGAATCGTAGGAAAAAGGCAAGGTAAATGCTTGACGTTTTCTCTTGATTTTCTAGTTTTCAAAATAATGAGACAGTTCCCCAGCATCTTCCAAAATTACTAAGGAGCTGTTCTCTTCCTTTCCTTTTCCCATTATATGTGTATCTGATATACATATTAAAAAATACATATAAAATATGAATTTTGAAAAGTGGATGTGTACTCGAAAAGGTCTATATCTATGCTTCTGAATACTTGTCACCCACTTTTTTTTGAGTACATCTACTTTTGGAAATTCAGTTTTGGAGTTATTCATTAACCATGGTTTGGGTTTTTACATAACATTTTCAAACGTCCCACGTTTTTTAGAAATAGCCTAAGATTAAAGGAAACAAAGAAACTGGTCATTAGTACCAACCATGCGTGTCCTTCTCAGATCACGTGCATAGGCCTGTACCTTTCACCTTCACACACACACACATACACACACACCCCTTATCTGCCCCTTGATGTGCAGAAAGGAAATATAAATGCAAAAATGGAGTGAGCATGGCATAATGTGTCAACTTGTCCAATCGCTAACCTGATACCTGAAACCTGTGTGACATTGTGTGTCAACTATACTTAAAATTGTAATTAAAAAATAGAAGAAAGAATGGAAACGATCAGGGATGGGAAAAGATGACATAAGTCTCTGGGAAGGCTAGCTAATGTGTAAGATGAGCTAATGCACATTCAGAAGTTCTCCTGCATTTAGAACAAACGTTGGGAAAGCACATTCACTTAAAAATCCTGGAATGAACCTGTAGATGACATTTCACCGGGCTGCGTTTGAAATTCCATACAGGTTTCTCCCGCTGTTCAAAAGTAGAGTGTGTCTACCAAACCACTCAGAAGCCAAAATGGCCTGAAGCAAAGCAACTCGCACTTCCTAAGAGCGAAAATCCTCTCTGGATTTTTCTCAGTTAGCAAAAACAGATACCGAGGTAGGTCTCTCATAAAAGCAAAGTGGCAGGACACGAATTTGCTGAGAACAGGGAAAGCTGTGCTTCCTCAAGAGATCAGCCTTCCCAAGAGGAAGCCTGGGTGACTCCCGGTAAACTTGATCGACTTGACTCAGGTCGATCTCAAAGTTACATTGGTGGTTCGAGCCCGCTGGCAGACTCTGTACTGACAGCTCAGAGCCTGGAGCCTGCTTCGGATTCTGGGTCTCCCTCTCTCTCTGCCCCTCCCCCACTCACACTCTGTGTCTCTCTCTCTCTCTCTCTCAAAAATAAACATTAAAAAAAATTTTAAAAATAAAAAAAGAGGGCTGCCGTGTACCCAGCACGGGAGGGCACCTGGATGGGCATTGTGACCCGCGGTCTGTGCAGAAAAGTTGCGAAAGTCCTGGGTGTTTGGGGCGAGAAGATGCTCAGGGAAAGGATGGATGGGAGCTCACTCAGGTGCCTGCGTGGCTGTCACGCTGTCATGACGAAGGGACTGGAGAGCTGACCCGGAGGGCAAAGCAGGACCAGAGCCAGAGCTCTTGAAAGGTAGTACTTGGACTTCAGAATGAGTGAGGAAGGCCTTTGTAACAGTTGGGCCAGCCCACTGTGCGGTGAGAATCTCTGAAGTCATCAACTCATCAACTCCATGTTACTCAAAGTGTTCAAACAGAACAGAGGACGAATTCGATGAGGTGACCTTTTTTTTCCCCCACTGTCTATATTCCGGTTTTATGTCCCAGAGAGGAAAGGATGACCGATTCTACAAGCACTTTATTAAGCCCTCACTAGGGCGAAAGCCTGTGCCAGCAGCAAGGAAAGCACAAGGGATCGGACTTTAATTAAAACTGTCCAGGGGCGCCTAGGTGGCTCAGTCAGTTGAGCGTC